GAGAGAGTAGAGACGAGTAGAGAGAGAGAGAGAGACGTGAGAGAGAGAGAGCGAGACGAGAGAGAGAGAGAGNGGGAGAGAGAGAGATGAGCGGGCGGCTTCGGTCGAGAACCCTGATCTGGGGTTGGCGGCGCGGCTGTTGGCTTTTTGCTCACCCCTGTGGACGATTCCCTGGTCGTGGAGGTAGACGACGGCGCCGGTGATGGTCTTGACGATGTGTGCGGCGTCCCTGCAGGCGAGCGAGGGGGAGGTGGTAAAGGGGGCAAAAGGGATGGGTGAGTCAAGTGGGGCAGCGAGCGACAAGGAGCGAGGTGGGCAAGGTGGAGCACGCACTGCTCGTAGTAGCTGCCCCTCTCGCAGATGCGGTCAAAGAGCTCGCCTCCGACGCAGAGGTCTGTGACGAGGTAGAGGTTGTTCATGGTCTCGAAGTAGTCGACGAGGGTGACGATGCTGCGGTGACCCTGGGAGACCTTTTTGAGGGCAGCGACCTCGTTGCGGACCATGTGTTCGCGGCCCTCCATGAGCTTTTTGGAGATGACCTTGCAGGCATAGTACTGGCCAGTCTTTATGTGTACGGCCTCCTTTACGACGGCGTAGGTGCCCTGGCCGAGGGTGCGGCCAGTCTTGTAGGCGCAGGGGACGGTCTGAGGCTGCGCCATGGTGGGTCGCTGGTGGTGGTGGTGGTGGTGGTGGTGTTGGTGGTGGATGCGATTCGGATGGTACGGTATGGGGGGGTTACGAGGCGGGGAGAGGTGATGGGGGAGAGGCAAGAGAAGCGTTGGCGTGTGCGAAGCGAAGATGGAGCAAGCAAGGTCGAGGGTGAGGGCTAGGCAGAGGCGGCAGGAAGGAGGCAGCCAAGCAGGGCAACCAACCCCCCCGCGTGTGGAGCAGCAACCAGCAGCCAGCAGCCAGCAGCCAGCAGCCAGCGGGACAGCGGGACAGGACGTCTGTGGCAGAGCGCACCGGCCAACCAGGACGAGCAGGCCCATGCCATCTCTCGATTGCATCTCTGTGCCGCCGACGGCCTGGACCCCTGTGCCGAGCTATGCCATGCCTGCCATGGCCTGCCCACCTGCCCAGCTGCCTGCCTGCCTTTCACACCCAGCGACAGGCGGCCAGGCCGGTGACAAGCCAACATGGCCTCGACCGCCGGTTGTCGGCCAAGGCACCAAGCGGCCACTTGGCGAGACGTCTATCTGTGGCTGTGCTGTCCCAGTCAGGCGGGGCCATGGCCATCTCTCGTGCGGGTCATCCCCGGCCTCGGAGCCGCCGAGCGGTGCCGCGCCCAAACGACCTCGGCTGACGCTGTGTTGGCTGCCGGCCCCCCGCCGAGGCGCCCTCCGTCCGGCAGCGGAGCCGCGCCGGCCTTCTTCGCGCCCCGCATCCAACACCATCACCAACACCGCCACCATCACCGCTATCCCTCGATATCATTCTTACCCTCGCTGCCACCCGCCCACTCGCCGCCGCTTTCCAGCAATATCAGCGCTAGCACCACTCCTCTTCCCAGCCGTCCCCGCACATCTGCACCCTTGACACCCCGGGCGCACCCTGGCCTAGCCAATCCCCAGCCTCCTCCACCTGCGACCGCGTCATGCTCAACTTCTTTGGCTCCTCCGGCAAGCCAAAACCAGCTCCAGCTCAGAGCAACAATGTCGCCACCGCCGCCACCGCCACCACCAGCACCAGCAGATCCACCTCGGCCAGCGCCTCCTCTTCCACCTCTTCCGCACCCCCACCTCGAAAGAAGCCAAAGACCTCGCCCGCACCCGGCGTAGTCGTCACAACGACTCGCAGGCTGGTGCGCCCGCCACCCGCCACCGCATCGCCCGCAGTCCCCGCCAACCGAGACTCGATCGAGTCCATCTCCGGCTACCGCCCCATCAACGCACTCTCCGAGGACAAGCGGCGCCGCATCCTCGAGGACCGTCACGCCGCCGAACTCGAAAAGCGCAGGGCCTACGAGGCGGCAAACCCGCCCACAAAGCCAAAGCGCACATCCTCCTCCGCCGCCAGCCGCGACCGCTCAAAGCAATCCAGCAGGGCTCCCAGCGTCGCCTCCGACCGACCCACCGCAAAGAGCCGCAAAAAGAAGCGCACCGCAGTCTTTAGCAGCTCCGACGACGACGACGATGACGACCTCGACTTCGGATCGTCAGCCAGGCGCGGCAGCGCTAGGGGGAGTCGTGCCCCCTCGACGCCCTCAAAGCGCCGCAGCGTCGACCCCTTCGCCTCGTCGGCTGCCGGTGGCGGCGGGAGCGGCAGCTACCAGGTCCTGGGCCGCGAGGGCGTCGCCCCTTCGTACTCTGTCCCGCGCGACATCCTGGCAGACGACTACGACTCGCCACCGGCCGAGCTTGCCGATGCGCCCCCCCTCGTCCAGAGCTGCGACGTCGTGGCCAGCTCCATCAAGGGCTTTGGACCCTTCTTCAACGGCCTCGGCGACAACCCGAGGGCGACGCTCGAGTATCCGGCGCCCGGCCAGTCCGAAGAGTATCTCCTTCTCGTGCCCCGCGACCGCGACGAGTACGACCCGCTACTCGAGCTGCTCATGGCAGTCAAGACGATTGTCAGCAACTACCTCACCCCGGAGCAGCAGAAGCTGTTTGGCTCGCTCGACAGCCTCGAGATCTCGAGCAACGCAGGCATGATCCTGCCCGGCGGCGCCGGTGGCACGGCGGCCATGGCGGCCACCCGGGCCAGGCTCGAGGGGGCCAACGGGACGGCACGCGCGCGGTCGGCGGACCTCATCGACAGCGGTGTGGGCAAGGCGGAACGGAGGGACGACCTCGACCCGGCGGCCCCAGGGCGACATGCGGACGACGAGGAGCGGGCCCACGGCCACGGCGCGGAAACCCCTCGCACGCCGCGCAACGACGACAGCCCAGGACCCGACCCCGAGCGCAAGGTGCCCAACGGACACTCGCACACGGCGCCCGTGTCGCCCTCGGCGTCGGCATCGTCCTCGTCGCTGCCGCACCGCAACGGCACCACCCACGCCAACGGATCGGGCCACGCCTCGCTGTCGCCGGTCAAGGCCGCCATCCTGGGCAACGCGGCGCTGATGCCGGGCCTCGACTCGCCCGTTGCCGCTCCCGCCTCTCCGCCCAGCTCGCAGGCGTCTACGGCGGCCAGTGTCACGACGGCGGCCACGACGACGGGCGCGGCGACGGATCCGGATCCGATCCTGCGGTCGTTTGCCAAGGCGCGCAACCGGCGCGATGGGCCGCTGTTCCTGCGCACGCTGGCGCGCTTCAATGCCGAGCTGGTGCGGCTGCGCGCGTCGGGCGCGCTGTCGCGCAACATCGCCGCCATGGGCCGCAAGGCGGGTGTGCCCGAGGGCGTGTGGCGGCTGGTGCAGGACCAGGTGTACGCGCGCACCGTGGGACCGCGGGTCGAGGAGCTGGGGCGGTACCAGGCGTTTTCGGACAACGTCTACGGCGAGCTGCTGCCGCGCTTCATGTCCGAGATTGCGCAGCTGACGCGGCTCGGGCCGGGCAAGGTGTTTGTCGACCTGGGCAGCGGCGTGGGCAACCTGCTCATCCAGACCAGCCTGCAGACGGGCGCCGAGGCGTACGGCTGCGAGATGATGGCCGTCCCCGCGGGCCTGGCCGAGCGCCAGATCCAAGAGGCCCAGCGGCGGTGGCGGCTGTGGGGGCTCAAGGGGGGCGACCGCGTCGAGGCGTGGAAGGGCGACTTTGGCGAGCACGAGGGCGTGCGCGACGTGCTCCGGCGGGCCGACGTCGTGCTGGTCAACAAGTGAGTCGTCGTCGTCGTCGTCGTCGATGGTCCTGTTTTGTCGTGGTGGTGACGTTGTGCGGTTTGCCCTGACTCTGTCGCGTTTCTCGATCAATCGCGTTGCTCAACGCTTGCCCCTTTGACTCTCCTCTCCTCTCCTCTCCTCTCCTCTCCTCTCTTCTCTCTCTCCTCGCTCGCTTCTCTGGAACAGCTACGCATTCCTACCCAAGACGAACGAGAACCTCTCTCTCCTCTTCCTCGACCTACCGGATGGGGCGCAGGTGGTATCGCTCAAGCCCTTTGTGCCGCTCGACTTCCGTCTGACGGAACGTACGCTCTCGTCGCCGCTGGCCATCCTGCGCGTCATTGAACGCACCTATACCAGCGGCTGCGTCAGCTGGGCCGACGGAGGCGGAAAGTATTATATCCACATTGTCGATCGCCACCTCATTCGCGATTGGTTGCACCGTAACGGTGGGATGGGCAAGGGTGTCGAGAGGAGGAGGTGGAAGAAGAGAAATGATGAGGACGAGGATGAGGACGACGAGGACGAGGAGTGAGGAGTAGGATGGGTGGGTTGGATCGGTGCCCGGTTCCGTTTGCATGCATATCCCTCTGCTTTTCCCACTCATCTTGCTGTTCACACACCCAACTCGGTCCAGTCGGTCGGTCAAGTCGCGTATACTGTAATGCTCCATCGATGGATGGTCCCATGTTGCCTCGGCCACCGTCTGGATCCATCCGCATTCCGCTCCGTCCACAAACCTGGAGGATGGAGAAGGAGGCTACCACATGAATCGCATCACTCTCGTCTCGCCGCGCGACGAATCGACAGCATCAGCGTCCCACGAAAACGGGCGGGAGAGAAAGATCCATACCGTCACGACGTTGATGCCCAGCGCCAGCATCGCTTCGAGGGCGAGTAGCACCGTCTTCCTCTTCACCACCACCACCACCACCACCCTCCCGCCATCGTTGTCGTGGGGCTGCACCGTCGAGGACGACGACGACGAGGGGGAGGAGGAAGGAGGAGGAGGGAGGTGGTCCTCGCTTGCGATGGTTTGAAGACGCAGCAGGATGTAGGGCACGAGAAAGTATCGCGGCTCGATGAGCGGCGAGGGGATCAGTGTGAGGCTCGTTGCGAGTATGAGGCCGAGTTGGTGGAGGAGCGTTGTTGTTTGACCTGCTTGATTCCAAGGAGGAGGGTGCTGGTCAGTCAAGGATGGGAACTCCACGAGGCGAGGCGAGGCGAGGCGAGGCGAGCGCCACGAAGAGCGGGGAGGCAGAACGTACCGAGGGCGTTCCACCACATCCTCGCGCAGACGAGGTAGACGGGTACCAGGGCGAAGCGGACCGCCTCGTGGCGTCGCCACACCTTGCGCCAGAGGTAGAAGGTGTAGTGCCGGTTGTCGGCCAGCAGGAATGGGTGCTCGATCGTATACCGCCCCACGGCCTCCTTGATCGCCCAGCACAGCACCCCCGTCGTCGCGACGGCAGAGGCAGAGCCGAGCATGTGGCGCACGGTCCGTCTTGTCAGCACTGCGACCGAATCGACGAGGGAGGACAGTGCGTTCGTGAGACCCGGTGCCTTCCTCTCCTCCTCCCCCTCCTGCCGCCGCCGCGACGACGACGACAGAGGCTGCGCGGCGAGGATGGCCGGCCAGCCAAACACCGTGGCAAAGAGGAGAAAGTACAAGAGCTGCGGGACGTGCACGCCTGCCTGGTGGTTGGACTGGTCGCCGAGGACGATGGAGCCGTTCCACCGCACGAACCACGCCACGCCCGCAAGCACGGGCACGAAGGGCGCGACGTTGCGGAGCAGCAGCGACGCCAGCCGCCCGCCGTTGCGCCGATCGCCGAGGATGCCCACCACCGAGGCGACGCTGCGGCCCAGATCCGCTAGGCCCGCCTGGCTGGCGAGTGGATCGTGCAGCGCCGGAAAGGCGCGCGAGAGGTCCGACAGGAGCGACGATGCGACGATATAGACGAGCCAGACGACGTTGGTCTGGCGGAACAGGAGCGAGACGGCGCCCAGCGTCGCCGCCGCCCACCGCCGCTGCCTCTGGACGCAGAGCAGCGTGGCCAGGATGAAAAAGACGCTGCCGACGTCGGTGTAGTAGAGGAAGCCGAAGAACCACAGCGGCGGCAGCAGGGCGACGGTGTGGCCCAGCGACGTGCGCCATGCGTCGCCTCGTTGCCGTCGCAGCTTGCGCTGCACTGCGCTCGAGCTGTAGATGGATTGCAGCGAGCCGGGCACCGAGTCGCGCGGCCGCGGCGGGGACGAGGCATGGGCTGGTGACGGATTCGTCACCGTCGATGTCGTCGTCACGCCCGTTGTTGGACCCGCAGCCTCTACCGATGCGGGTACTTCGCCTTCGCCGTCTCCGTGCGCAGCGGCGCGTGCGGCTGCTTGGCGCTTGGCCTGTTCCTGGATGGCCCGTACCGTCTCACGCGAGATGCCTGCCCTCTTTGAGCGGGCGTGGATCGAGCGAGGGAGGGATGGAGGAGGGTCTGCCGGCGCATCCGTCATTGCCACCGTCGATCTCGCGCCGTCGATGGGCCGTTCCGAATAGCCCGGAGGCAGCTCGACGGCCGCTCCAGGTCCGCCCTGGCGCTGCAGCCGGTGGGTATCGAGCTGTATCGCCCTCTTCTCCCTCTGATCCTCGTACGACTCCACGATGGCGGCCAGGAGGTGGGGCAGGCATACGAGCAGAACGAGGTTGGTTGCGCGGAGGAAGCGCAGGTCGGTGCAGTCAAAGAGGGGCAGTATGCGGCCAAAGGCAAGCGAGACGAGATAGAGGCCCGGCGGCGTGGTGAGCTTGGCGTCGTAGGAGCCGTAGTCGCCCACGCAGAACCGCGTCGCCTGCGGGGCGTGGAAGATTTCGTCAATGTAGGGCAGCGGGACGTGCCGGTTGATGGTATCGGCGACCAGGGCCGAGCCGAGCGCAAACGCGACGGCCAGCACGTTGCCGGCGTCGAGGCGGGGCAGCAGCAGCAGCGACGACGGCGACGACGGCGACGACATGGCGCACTCGTCGCCCCTCGTGCTAGCGAGATCGCGGATCGGTCCGAGGGCTGGTCGATACAGCGGCGGCGGCAGCAGTGCCAGCAACGGGACTGACGCTGCTGTAGTAGCCAGAGGCGGTGATGGTGATGGTGGGGTGGTAGAGGCGGTGGAGGGCCAACAAGGCTGGTTGGCAAACCATCCCGGCCTTGGATCTAGTCGGACCGGCGAGCCTCGAGGCAAGGCCCGAGCGTCGGGTCGGGACGAGGCGAGGTCAGGCTGCGAGCAGGCCAGGCCAGCTCAAGCAAAGCCGACTTCCGGCGGCTCCTGCGGGGCGGGCGTAATGCGCAGGCGGCATGTGGAGCAGCCAGGGCCCAGATAGAGGCAGGCCAGACGGGGCTGGCTGACCTCTTGCGTTCTTCTCGTCGAGGAACGGGGCCAGCCCGAGGCCTGCTGATGATAGATAGCCTGCCGTCCTCTTGATCCATCACCACCAACCAACCAACCGACAAAATCATCCAAGCTGGCCATCCCGTCGGCCCTCTCCCGCCTCTCCTCTGGCTCTTCTCCCCCTAGCGTCTGTCTGACCCCCACATCATGGCGCCCCAGTCTCGGGGTGTGGCCGAGGCGGCCTCGGCATCCATACCGCCGCCCGTGCCCGCTCCCACGCCGTCGGAATCGACCCGGCCACGCCAGTCCGAGTCGGGCACCTCGCTCAAGGGCTTCGTCGGAGGCACCGTCTCGGGTCTGACGAAGCTGGCCGTAGGGCATCCATTCGACACGATCAAAATCCGCATGCAGTGCAGCCCCTTTGGGACCTACCGCGGCCCGCTCGACTGCTTCCTCCAGCTGGCGCGCAAGGAGTCCCTGCTTGGCCTCTACAAGGGCGCCACCCCTCCCGCCTTTGGGTGGGCCATCACAGACTCGGTCCTCCTCGGAAGCCTGCACAACTACCGCAGGCTCTTTGCCCGCCTCTCGGGCTCAAAGGAAGACGACAAGCGGCTGCCCGTGCGCTACCACGCCCTCGCCGGCCTCATGGCAGGCTGGACAAACAGCCTCGTCACCACCCCCGTCGAACTCATAAAGGCAAAGCTGCAGATGCAGTTCCAGCGCGTCGAGGTCCACCTCCCCGGCAGGGGCGCAACGTCTGCCGTCGCTGCCGCAGCCACCGACGCCGTCAAGCGCGAGTACTCGGGCCCCATCGACTGCGTCCGCCAGATTGTCGCAAAGCACGGCATCACGGGCCTCTGGCACGCTCTGCCCGCCACGCTCCTCTTCCGCAGCAGCTTCGCCGTCATGTTTGGAAGCTACGAGGTGTTGCAGCAGTGAGTGGCGTGCTGCTGTCCGCCGAGTGCGGCAGATGAAGCATGAGCAAAGGGGGGGAAAGACCACCTCGCTGACCACTCCCTTTCCAACACCACCAATCACGCCCTCGCACAGACAACTGGGCTCGCTCAAGGGGACAAAGTACGAGCTCTCGCCGGGCGCCGTCACCTTCCTCTCTGGCGGACTGGCGGCCGAGCTCTTCTGGCTGACGGCCTTTCCGGCCGACATTATCAAGAACCGGATGATGGCCGACTCGCTCCAGTCGCCCAAGTTCCCCACGATCCGCTCCGCCTTTACCTCGGTCTGGCAGTCGGCCGGCCCGCAGGCGTCGCCGCTGCGCAGGGCGCGCATGTTCTACACGGGCTTCCTCCCCTGCTTCCTCCGCGCCTTTCCCACCAACGCCGCCGCCCTCTTCGCCTTTGAGACGGCCATGCGCCTCATGGGCGCAGAGAGGGTGTGAACGTCGACGCTCTCCGAACAGCGACCGCCTGCGTGCCTCGGTCACGGCGACGCAGACTGCGGGCAAAGCTCGCCCCACTACTCTCCCTCCTCGGGCCTCCGCAACTCGCCACCCACAACGCCCGGCCACGATCTGCTCGACCCGACACTGGACTGACTACCAACCGCGCCCGCGCCGTATCATACCACCGATGCCCTACCACCTCTCATGCCTTGTCGATCGGACCCACCCATCTCGGTTCCATCCTGTACTATCCGCGTCCCCCTGCACACCGTCGTCGCATTGCCCAGAATGCCAAAGCATAGACTATCGTCGACTCAGAAGACGACAGACCTTCATCCTAACCCACCCGCCGTTTCCTCGCCCTCGTTGACAGATCGGCGATGCGGCCGGAGGTCGCCAACACTGACACCTGCCCCTGGCTCGTTAGTGGGCGCGGCTCGTGCGCCAATGGCGGCTCGAATGAACCGTGACCGCCTCGAGGGCAAGCGAGGGCGGCGCAGCCAAGACGGCGCAGCCAAGACGAAGCTGACAAACTCGGCATGTTGGGGCGTCGAGTGAGCCTGCCCGTCCAAGACGAGGGAATCGGATCCAATCCTGCCGCTCTCTCGATGTTCGTCGAGACAGCGTGGGAGCACATCTCGGCGAGTCATTGACGGCGTGCAGGCTCAGCGCGGTACGGTCGGAGGCGTCGTCACGAGACGTTTCCGGGGGCCAGTGGCACGCGCGGCAGCTCGCACACAATATCAGACAATGCCGGCATCGGCCACCGAGATAGAGCCGGCGTGCGCACCGGCACAGCAACAAACAGCATGGTCCGCCATCGTGTATTGTCGCACACGCGTCTCGCTCGCTGCCTGGTTTAAATCCTCCCAAGGCCGTATCGAGGACGATGTCCAGCCACCGCCCGCTCGCTGAGGCACACACGCGCAGTGGGAGTCCGACCGCGTCTAGCGTACCATCGAGTCGAGTCGAGTCGAACCCAACCCAGCCCAGCTCGGAACGACGATCCGTCTGCTGCCCCGCGCGGGCCATCGTACGTACGCCTGGTCGTCACGAAACGGTGGCGACGGAGCTAAATCCTGTTGAGTCCAGAGTGGGGGGGGGGGGGGAGGGGGGGGGGGCGTTATGTACGTTTGAGGCAATACCGCTCACCCTCATGCTTTCGACCCCCTCCCACCCGGCCGATCCGTCCTACAGCAGACGCTCGACGGGCTGCTATACCGGAACATGCTCTCCGAACGTGGGCCGAACAAGGCACGAATCGGCAACGACGCCGATGTCGCAGCAGCAGCAGCAAGCAGCAAGCGGCAAGCAGCAAAGGAGGCAGCCGAAGAGACAGCAAGCATGCGTGAAAAAATCTCAATAATTTTATTGTTTATTGCGGTGATTTTTAGCCTGTCTCAAGGGGGATGAGAGCCGCCGCCTGGGAGGAGAGGCGGTGCCTGCTTAGGGCCGATATTCGGCCAAAAGGGGCAAGCCAGCGTGGGCCCCTGACCGACCCACCTTTCTTCCGAAGTCGACGTCGGGAGTGGGGGCATGCTGCTGCTGCTGCTGCTGCTGCTGCTGCTGCTGCTGCGCCCATTTCGCCTTTGACACCCACCACCACCAACTGACCCGCTCCGCGACGGAATCGAGGTCCCGGCGCTGCGCCCGAGCGCGGGGCGAAGTTCAGGTGTATAAAGTGGGGCGGACGGAGCGTGGTAACGGACAGGGCCAACGCCCCATCATCACCGTCGTCACCACCCGACGCCATGTCGCGTCCCCAACCGCCTCTTGCCCGGCGAGGCCCGCGCGCGCTCCTCTTCCTCTCCCTCATACACATCCTCGTCCTCGTCCCCCTCTTGGCGTCGAGCCTGGCCAACGCATCGCCGCACCCGTCAAGGGCCATCCTTCGTCGTGCCGATGCCGCCCATCCAAAGCAGCGTCAGCCGCAGAGCAACGGTCATGCCGTGAACAAGGTCAGCGGCAACGGCAAAGGCGGCGCCGACGACGACGACGACGGCGACGGCGATGGCTACGACTTTGACGCACCCCGCCCGATCCGACGCTTCAAGCTCGAGGTCGGCAGCAAGACGGTGTGGTCCGACTGCAACCCCATGTCTGACGCGCCCGTCATCAACGGCACCACGCCCGGACCGACGATCCGCGTGCGGGCCGGCGAGCGCGTCCTTATCAATGTGTACGTCCCCCTTTCCTCCTTCCCCTTGTCCCTGCGCCGGCATTCTCGCGACCCGTCGATTCCCACGTGCGGTGAAGACATTTCTGACCGACTGGATCCCTGCCTTGTGACGGGCCGGCGCGACGACGACAGCACCAACGTCCACCCCAGCGAGCCGACGACGATGCACTGGCACGGCCTCTCGATGCGGCTCAACCCGGCTTCGGACGGCACGCCCATGATCTCGCAGTGGACCATCGAGCCGGGCAAGTCGTTCGAGTACGACATCCGCCTCGACGAGCGCGAGCCGGGCACCTACATGTACCACACCCACGTCGAGCTGGGCAGCATGACGGCGTACGGCGCCCTGATCATCGAGGACGCGCCATCGGCGGCCGAAGCCAAGCCGGCCGGACCCAAGGCCAAGGCTGGCGGCAAGGCGACACCGAGCATCACCTGGGGCGACGAGGACCTGCAGCGTCGCCACGGAAAGAGCGCTCCGGGCGCACCGTACAAGTACCACCAGGATCGCATCCTGGCGCTCGGCGACTACTGGAGGATGACGAGCCCCGCCAACATCTCGGCCGGTCTGGCGGCCAACCCGTTTGTGTGGCCGGGCAACCCGCAGAGCCTGCTCGTCAACGGCCGCCAGAGGGGCGAGTGCAACGCCACGGCCCTCGCGGCCCGCTCGCTCCAGTGCCCCACGTCGTCGCCGTCGGACGCGACCAAGCCGCTGTGCGACTACCCAGAGATCCGGGTGCAGTACGGCAAGACCTACCGCTTCCGGCTGATCGGCTCGCAGACGCTCATGTACATCTCGCTCGGCATCCTCAACCACACGGTCGAGGCCAACCGGCTCGAGCTGATCGAGGCCGACGGGAGCTACCTCTCGCCCGCGCCGACCGAGTACGTCGAGGTGGCGCCAGGGCAGCGCTACTCGTGGCTCTTCCGCGCCAAGCGGCGCGACGAGGTCGAGCGCGACGCCACGGCGGGCGTCTACTGGATCAGGATGGAGTCGAGATGGCGCACCGGTCCGTCCGGCTGGGCGCGGCTCGTGTACGTCGACGACGACAGCCAGGACGGCAACGACGCGCGCCTCTCCTCGGCCTCGACATCGTCCTCGGCCAACGATGCGACGGTCGGCAAGGCGTCTCCGCCCGCCTCGATCACCGCCAACGCCACGCTGCTGCCAAAGGAGAAGGTCGGGTGGATCCTGGACCGCCTTTCTCCGCTGCGGGGCCACGCCGCACCCTGCCCGCCCGACTCGGCCGTGACGCGGACGGTGATTATCAATGCGCAGCAGCACCTCGTCTCTCCGGCGTCCAAGGCGGTGCAGTGGTGGGAAAACGGCCGGGCGTACGACGAAGAGCGCTCGACGCCCGTGCCCTACCTCGTGAACCTGTACACGGGCAAGGTGCCCCGACCTTCGCTGTCGCGGTCCCGCGATGCCGCACACGTCGACGACGAGGCGCACCGCCTCCTCCACGCCTCGGATGCAAGGGACGTGGCGGCCACCATGGAGCGGTACAGGTGGAGCCAGGGGTTCGACGACGTGGCGGGCGTCTACCTCGCGCAGCCGGGCGAGGTCATCGACATCATCATCATCAACCGGCCGTCGAACATCTCGTCCAACGTCGAGGTGCATCCGTGGCACATGCACGCGTCCAAGCACTGGACGCGCCTCACCCGGTCCGGCACGTTTTCCTTTGCCGCCTACGCCTCTGCCCTCGCCTCCTCGGCGGCGCAGGGGGGCAGAGGGGCGTACAGCGATCCGATCCCGCGCGACACGACGTCCGTCTACCCGTCTCCGGGCGCGGCCTACCTCAACCAGACCGTATCCTCGCCGCAGGACAACGACGGAGGCTGGTCCGTGCTCCGGTACAAGGTGTCTGCCAGCAACGCGGGCGTCTTTCCGCTCCACTGCCACATCACCTTCCACCTCAAGATGGGCATGGCTGTCGTGTGGGGCTTTGATATCGACGCATTCGCCGGCCACGGAGGCAAGCTCGACCGCTTCTACGCCCAGACCGGCGATTCGGTCGAGGGCCTGAGCCTGGGCTACCTCGAACCGGGCCACGACGTCGCTGCCGTCCTCTAATCGCAGCGTGGTCGGCCGCTTGCTTGTTTATCGTTGGCCGCGGCATCGTTGTGATCCTTGGCATAGAGTCCTGCTCCGTATCTCTTCGAGTCTAATAGCAATGCCCTATCAGAGCTTCGTCGCGACCTGAACGACGGCAAGAGCGGGAGCGGGAGCGGGACTGAACTGGGCTGGAGGCCAGGGACCGTCGAGGCTACGACCCGAGCGCCTCCTCCCTCTCCATGACGGACCGGTCCAGCTTGATGAGGATCGTGGTACGCGCCGGGAACTCGGGCGTGGGTACCGAATGGGCCGTCACCCTCGCCGGCTGTCCGAGCGGTCGTTGCCAGGAAGGCGAACAGAAAAGGTCGGACGGGCGGGACGTGGGGGGTCAGGAATTGCCGATGGGGCTGCGTCAGGGGGTCCAAAGAGCGACGGGAGCGACTCACGAATCCGAGCCCGTCGAGCGCAGCTTCGACGATACCCGCCGTAATGGCTTCGACCGAGAGCTGCGACATTTCCTTTGGGATGGAAATGGCGCGCGAAAACGTGGGCACGTTTGTCGAGATCATGTCTGTCGGCCGGCGAGGGAGGAGAGGAGGCCGTGAGCAATTCCATCAACGGGCGCACCGCCCACTTGACCCTGTGCATTCCACCGAGCTGAGAGAACCAGGGACGCACTCACACTCGTCGCTGCGTCCAGCCTCAGTGCTCCTCTCAAGACTATCCGCCTGCCTCCCAAACAGCGCCTTCCAAAAAGCGCCATGGATCCAGAGCAAAGTGGGGAGCAGCCTCGTCTCCCTCTTTGGGTTCTTCGGGTTGTTGCTCGTCTCCTGGCGGTGGAGTGTGAGGGGGAGGAGACGCTGGCCGACGTGGTAGCCGAGGAGGGAGAGGCGTTTCTCGAGGTCCGAGATGCCATTGACGCGCGCCTGGGTGTACGCGACGGCCTCGGCGACGAGAAAGTGCAGACTCGCCAGCGCCACTTCTGCCAATCTCGTCTTGTCCCGCGGCCGATCGAGGATATCCGGCCCCCCCGCTACCACCCCCGTCGTCGTCGTCGTCGTCGTCGTACTGTCGTTGTTGCCGTGGTGGTAGAGGTCAGAGGAAGAAGAGGAGAGGAGAGAGATCCGCCCGCCGCCGCCGCCGCCGCCGGTCGAGGATGCACGGTGCGGGGTATACGACGAGGTCTGCGAGGTGCGGCGCGACGAAAAGGGCGGCGGCAGCGAGGTGCGCGGCGACGTGAAGCTGTAACTCGACCCGCTGCCCGGCGCTGCCGTCGTCGTCGTCATCGACCCGGCCGCCGTAGATGCTGATGGGCCCGTCGGGTTCGAAAGGCGCTGCGGAGGCGGTCGTTGCGTGTGCATCGACATGGTCGGTGTTGGTCCTTAAGGTATGGTATGCTGTGAGAGTGATGGAAAGATCACGAGGTAAGGCTTCGATGATGGTGGTGGTGGTGGTCGAGGAAGGGAGAGGGCTGCTCCACACGACCCCTTCGCCCTCTCGCAGCCGTGCTTGCGCTCGGGCCAGCCGGCCAGCACTCTCCTTGCCCCACCTCACAGCGCCCACGATTTTCGCTCTCAATAATATCGAGGCTTTTCCCTTCTCGCATGCGCGCCAACCACCTACCCCCGCCCGCCCTCTCTTGGGTCAATCGACGCTCGACATCCCGAGTATGACAGCGAGGTGCGGTCAGCGGCTCAAACCGAACTCGGACAGCATTCCAATTGCAGCCATGTTGCATCGTAGCAAGCCCCGACCGGCTGCTGCTGCTGCTGCGTCTCTACGTCGCAGACGCCGTGGCCGTCGCATCCTGATCCGGCGGCTCCTCGCTCTTTTCCTCCTCGTCTGTCCCCTTGGCCTCGACCGAGGTACCGGCATCTTCCTGCGTCTCCTTGTCCATCCCGTCCTCTTGGCCTGCCGATGCATCCGCCGCCACCGGTGCCGCCCCCGCCGCCGTCGTCATACCGCCTTGGTCCTGTGCGATGGCACTAGCGGCCTCCTGCTCGTCCGCCTTGCCAGCAACACCCGCCGCCGGATCCTGCAGCGCGGCCTGCTCCGTCGTGGTGGGCTCAGCAGGCACGGTTGGCGCCGCACTGCTCCTTTCGCCCTCGCCCTCGGCGGCTGCTGCTGCTGCTGCTGCTGCTGCTGCTGCTGCTGCTGCTGCAATCACCGGAAAGTCGCCCGACGGCTTATCTGTCCCTTCGAGCGGCGCCACCGCCTCGGTCGCATCCCTCGCCGCTTCTTGCTCGCCCCCCACCGGCTCGGCCTCGATAGCGTGGGGCTCAGCCTTGACCTCCTCCTCACCTTCGCCGTGACCTTCTATTGCCTCTGCCGCCCCACTTGTCACCTGTCCCGCATCGGTGCCAACCTCGCCCCCCGAGACCGAGGTGACGGTGGTGTTGCCGTCGCCTTCGCCGCTCTCGATACCCGTCGAGACGAGCGCAGAGGGTGCCGCTTCTGCCACCAGATTTGGCGCCACACCCTCGTCCGCTGGCCCGGCCTCTGGCCCCTGCTGCGCTCCTTGCTGCTGCTGATCCGCTGCAGACCCCGTTCCCTCCTCGACTGCTGATGTGGCCGCCGTCGACGCTGCGCCACCCGCGACGAGTCCCTCTTCCTCCTCCTCGGCGATAGCCTCCTCGAGGATCTGGTCTTTGCGCTTGATGGGCGATTGCACCGGAGATCGATCGCCCGGGCGCAGCGTCTCTGAAATCTCGAGGGCCTTCATCGGCGGCTGGCCGCTGCCCTCGGCCTCGATGGTGGCCTGGTCGATGGCCAGCGGGTTGCGCGATGCCGTCGGCGAAGTGGGGCTCCTCTGCAGCGTCGCGCTGGGAGAGAGGGGCCCAGTCGAGCTGGGCTTGACCGGCGTCACGGGGCCGAGCAGGGTGGAGCCCGATACGGCGGCGCCATCGGCCGGCGCTGCGGCTTGCGGTTGCCGGCCCGGCTGGGCGTCCGAGACGAGGGCGTCGCTGCGCTCCTTGAGCTCGAGGAGCTCGCGCAGCGTGTCGTTTTCGATGCGGAGGCGCTCCTCGTCTGTGAGCATGGCGAGCGCGCGCTCGGAGCGCTCGACTTCGGGATCGAGGTCCCTGCCCGTGTAGCCGCCCGAGCCGTACCAGCGCGGATCGGCGGGCCATCCATTGTGCCGGAGCCCGCCCTGTTGCTTGTGTGGCCGCCGTGAGCCGTGGGCGTCAATGGGGCTGCTCTGTTGGTCGTCGTCGGTCTCGCTGGACTCGCCGTCCATGGTGCGGAGGGCCCTGCGTACGAGTCCGCCGAGATGCTGGAGGGTGCCGCTGAAGGCCGTCTCGGAGGCGAGGGTGGCCTCTGCGGCGTTCTGGGTGGTGTTGACCAGGAGGTTCTCGTAGTGGGATGTGAGCTGGAGCGTGTGTTGCTGAGCAGAGTGCTGCAGGGGGTGGTGGCCGTGCGGTTGCCGGTGGGGCGAGGGAGGAGGACGAGGAGGGGTGGCGGGGGTCGTCAGCGAGGCAGTCCGGGCGGGAGAAGTAAGTAACAAGAGTTGCGACGAAGGGGGCCGCGGACGCGCACCGAGAAGCTGCGGAACTTTGCCATTACGGTTTCGAGGGTGTTTTCGTACTCGCGGAGGAGGATGGACTGCTGCTTGTTTTCGTGTGCGAGGCTCTGGTTGTCCTTTACGAGGTAGGCGTTGAGCTGTTCGAGCTCGGACTCGAACTTTTCCTTAGTTATGTCGGTGTTGAAGCGGCGGAGGGCGTAGCCGGTGCCCGAGTGTATGGCTTGGCCCTGGTGGGGAGGGGAGGGGAGGGGGTGGGGAGGGGAGGGGAGGGGTGGGGAGGGGAGGGGGAGGGGAGGGGGAGGGGAAGGGTGGACCGAAGAGGTCGAGTCGTGGGCCCAGGTTTGGCGAGGAGACGGCGGCGAGGTAGGGGAGGGTGGTCACCTTTAGCTGGTCTGCCTGCTGCTGGAGGGATTCGCAGAGCTGCCTGTTTGCCTGTAGCTGGTGAGTGAGGTCCTCGATGAGGGACCATAGCCTCTGCAGCTCGTCGCCGTCCATGGCGGTCATGGGCGGGCGAGGCGAGGCGAGGGTGAGGGGAGAGAGGGGGGAGAGAGGGGGGAGAGAAAGAGAGGCGCGCAAGGATGGTGTAGGACGATTTGCGCCGCCAGAGAGATGCGAGGTTGTGCGTGCGGCTGGCGCGGTGTGTCGATGGTGATGGCGGGGGGTGATGGTGGTCGTCGAGAAGAGTTGAGGCGAGGCGAGGCGATTTTCGGGGGGTTGGGTGACCGTGGAGTAGCCTGCCAGCTGCTCTCGCTGCTCGCTGCGCGCTGCCCGCTGCTGCTGCTCGGTGCAAAAGTGACACTCTTTGGCACGCTCAGACCACCCACTCGCGCCGGCTGTCCACCACCAACCACCTCCTTGCTTTGCTCGCTGCTTTGACGGCTGCTCGGCCCTCGCTCCTCCCCCACCCACCGCCGTCGTCATTGCCATCACCATCAACGCTCCCATACCCACGACCACCGCACTCATCCTCACAATCACGGCCAACAACGCTCCTGCCACCCATCTTGGTCCACGCGAAAACTGCACTCGCCCACACCTCGACCTCGATCTCGACCTCGACCTCGATCTCGACCTCGACCTCGACCTCGACCTCGACTGGCAACACAACCTGCCTCGGCTGCCGCCGCTGCCGCAGCTCTCTCCCCAACCGCCACCATGTCGTCGGTCGACGCAGAGGCAAACGCCTACCTCGCCTGGGTGCGCGCCGTTCTCGACCCAGATACCACCGCCGCACCACCTGCCGCCTCCAACACCACCGACGGCACCGACCAAGATGCACAGCTCACCGACCCACCGCCGCCGCCCTCGACGACGTCGTCGTCCAACCGCACCTACGACTCCGTCGACGACCTCTGCGACGGCGTCGCCCTCTTTGACCTCCTCGCCGCCATCGACCCGGACCTCTTCCGCAACCCGCACGGCGCAGACGTAAAGGACAACTGGGTCCTCACCATCGGCACCCTCAAGCGCCTCTACAAGCTCATGATGCAGTACTACTCCCAGTCCCTCCAGTGCGACACCCACCAGCTCCCCGCGCCCGATCTCAACGCCATCGCACGCTCCTCGGACAAGGCGCACCTCAACAGCCTCTGCCTCCTCGCCATCGGCATCGCCGTCCAGAGCGACGAAAACGACCGCCACATTGCCGCAATTCAGACCCTGCCCCAGGAACACCAGCATCAGCTCATGATGGCCATCGCACGCATCATGGACGCCATCAAACAGGGCCAGGACCAGCAGCTCGCCGCCGATCAGCAGGCCAATGCCGATGGCCGCCGGACCAACGGCGACGGCAGCGCCGACACCGACGGCGACGACGCCTTCGGCCAGTCTAAAGAGGAAATGGCCCAGGACCTCGCTCGGCTGCGCGACGAAAAGTCGACGCTCGAAAAGGCCTACATCCAGCTCGCCGAAGAGCACCGCAACCTCGAGGACACGCTGCAAGAGTCTCGCGCCGAGACCCGCCAGGCCACCTCCGAGCTTGCGTCCTACCGCAAGTCGGTCGAGGAGAGCCGCAACGAGCAGGCCGACGTCCTCATGCGCCAGGAGATTGAGCGCCTCAAGCTCGAGCTGCGCAAGAGCGAGGACAACCTCGCCGCCATCGAAAACGACCACGAGCGCCTCACAAAGGCCAACCTCGAGCTCGTCCGCCGCACCGACGACCTCCAGCGCAAGGCCGACGAGGGGACCCGCTTCAAGGACCAGCTCGACGAGCATCGCCACGCCGCCGACAAGCTCCAAAAGGCCGAAAACGCCATTGAAAAGTACAAAAAGAAGCTCGAGGAGGGCGCCGACATCCGCAGGCAACTTAAGGCCCTCGAGGATCAAAACGCCGACCTGGTCAACCGCAACGCGTCGCTCGAGGACGAGTACAAGCGCGTCTCGGCGTTTAAGCCGCTCATGGACTCGTACAAGACCCAGATCGCCGAGCTCGAGGCCAAGGCGTCCAACCTCCAGCGCGACCTCGATACGTCCAAGTACGAGCAGGACCAGGTGCTCTCGCGGCTCAGGGCGTCCGAGGACCAGAGGGCAAAGGAGAAGGAGGAGATGGAGCTCTACCAGGACCGCATCCGCGAGCTCGAGCTGGGCGGCGACGACGGCAGCGGCGCTGCGAAGCGGAAAAAGGCCGCAGCGGCGGCGGCAGCGGCAGCGGCAGGGGGCAGCCAAGACGACGTGGCCATGAACGGCGCCGAGGGGCTCGTGGCGGCCGACAACAGCTTCGCATCCGCGCGGGGCATCGGCGGCGACGACGACGGCGATGACGACGACGAAGACGACGACGAGGCCGACACGGCGGGCGAGCTCGAAGATGCGCTTTCTGGCACGACGATGACGGACCTCAAGATCCGGGTGCGCAAGTTGATGCGCGAGCTTGAGGCGGCGCGGACCAACAAGGCGGACCAGTCGCGCATCATTGTGCTCGAGAACCTGCTCGAGGATGCGCAGAAGATGAAGTCGCGGTACGAAGCCGACTACCTGCGCGAGCACCGCGAGAAAATGATTCTGCAGAACCAGATCGAGGCCATCCGCAGCGGCAAGTCCGACCTCGGCGATGGGTGAGTGTCGCCGCGGCGACGCGGGTCAGGAAGAAGAAGAAGAGGGAGAGAGAGAGAGAGGAGGAGGGAGGGGGAGGATGGAGAGCTGACCGCCATGCAAAGCATCCCTTCTTGATGGTGCCACCCGACGCAGCACCGAGGCGGCGTACGCGCTGCGGCTGCGCCTCAACGAGGTCGTCGACGAGCTCGACAAGAGCAAGCGCGAGCTGACGACGCTGCAGGTGCAGCACGAGCAGATCACGCGCGAACTGACGATTGCCAAGTCGGACCGTGAGTGGCTGGGCCGCCGTACGACGTCCGCCAGAAGGAAGGGAGAGCGGCCGAAGCTGACACGCGCCCTTCGACACACTACTGCTCCGCATAAATCTCTCGGCAGTCGCGCTGGTCAACAAGGACCAGGTCGACATCCTGCACTCGCTGCGGGCGTCGATCGAGGTGGAAAAGGACGAGCTGGAGGGGACGATCCGGCGGCTCAAGACGAAGCTGTCGTCTGCGCACGAGCAGAACAAGATGTCGATGGCGCAGGTCAACAGCCTGCTGATGGAAAAGGTGGACCTGCAGAGCGAGTCGATCGGGCAGCGCGACGAGGCGCTCAAGCGCGAGCGGACGCTGGGCGAGCTGCGGGTCAAGCTGAGCGGCAAAGGTCTGCCGCGCGAGGTCGAGGATATGGTGGCCTCGCTCCAGGTCGAGGCGATGAACGGGGCGCGCGACCTCAAGGCGGTGCAGGACAAGTTTGCCAAGGCCAAGATGTTTATCAAGCAGCAGGACCGGATGCTCAAGGAGCGCGAGAGGGAGATGGCGTCGTTTTCCGCCGTCGCCGCGGCGGCGCAACAACACGGTGGTGGAGGGGTCGGGGGGGACGAGGAGGGGGAGAGGGGATACAAGAGGCTCAAGGAGGAGGTGACGGTGCTGCGGCGCGAACAGCGTCTCATGATGAGCGCGTTCCAGGATCTGGGGAGGAGGTACATGGTCGAACTCGAGAGCAGCCGTTCCCACACCGGCAGCGGCGGCGGTGGCGGTGGCGGTGGCGGTGGCGGCGGTGGAGGTGGGTTCGGTCATTCTGGTATTGGAGGGGGTGGTGGGATGGGGAGCAGCAAGGCGCTCCTGGTCAACTCGTCCGGATCCAAAAGCGCCGCTGCAGGAGGGGGAGGCGGAAGTTGGTTGAATCGTCAACGGTCCAGCGTCAACCCGACGCTCAAGATCGCAAGTAGGAGATAGTCAGGCCGTCGTCGGTCGTCGGTCGTTGGGTCGCCAGTCATCGTTGGGTCGTCGCTCGTTGGTCGAGTCGAGTCGAATCACGACCGTCAGGACAAGTCCCGTCATCCGTCTCGATAGACAGCACAGAGGAACTCGTAAATGTCGATTGCGATTGATACCCCTCCCCTCTCCTCCTCCTACTTCTGCTCGCCCTCTTGCTGTCCCTGATTCAGTGACGGCGTCGAAGCGTCACCTTCGATGGTGAGGTACGAGTCTGGTGGCGGGACAAGGAAGTCGTCGGCCGGCTGGCGGGGAGGTCCCGATTCTTCCCCCCCGCCCTCGATACGTCACCCCGATGACCCGTCCGTCCTCCTCTTGCAGGTGCTGCGCGTCAGGCGTCGGACATGAGCGAAGCAAGACGCTGCTCCCTGTGCCGGACCGGTGCTGACGCGCGTACCGGTATGTGAGAGAAGCTTCCTTGCTTGTTGCCTCACGGCGTGGCACAGCGCTGCATTGCGGTGCGGTGCGGCTGCAGACCACCTCTTAGCTTCGGAAGCATCGGCCCGTCGTCGTCCCTCGACACCGAACCGACCGACGGACAATTCGGGTTTTTTCTCCCTCCCTCCGTTCTTCGCTCTCCGCTGCTTTCGGTGCTTGCTGCCCGTCCCCTGGCCGCGAGAGAGGGGTACCGTAAAAGGCTCCGCCGGGCTGCCTGGATGGACTCGAGCGTGTGCCGGAGCCTTATCGATTGGTAGATTGCTCATGGTCTGAGTAGCGGCTGTCGGTGCAAGCAAGAGAGAGCGAGCGGTGACCGTACGTGGCTGGTTGCACACCAGCAGCGGCCTCGTCGGTCGTCCACGCCCATGCATGCCTACTCCCTTCCCCGCTCCGTCCCTAGCCTCGAACCTGGCCACGAGGCCGAGAGTCACAAGCAAGGATCGACGGCCTAGTCTAGACTAGACCCTGCTGCCGTCCTACTCCGTTGATTCGGGCCTCGAAGGGCAACGCTGGGTCGTTGGTTCATGGATAGTATGGTGCCAAGAGGCAGGTACGGTGGCGGATGGGCGGGCGGTGCACGCATCCATGCCGGCCTGGCCCGGTAGCCTCCGCCTTGCTTGCTTGCTGCTTGCTTGTTTGTTGGGATGCACGGTGCTGCGCCCAACCCTGGTGCTTGTGCTCGACGACCGGCACCGCACCAGACACGGCGCGCCGCCTCCCGCCTCCCGCCATTCCATCTCTTGCTTGCTTGCCTGCCTGCCTGCCTTGCCTCCCTGTGTGCGCCATGCACACACACATGCTGGCAGTCAGAGATCTCCGGAGCGAGCGAGAAAGCCAGCGTCTCGTTGCGCTGCGCTGCGGAAGAAGACGACGACGACGACACGATGTGCCCACCCGCCCACGAAGGAAGAGAGAGGAGCGAAGAAAAAGTCAGGCCACCACTCGCCTCGACGCGGACAAGAAACGACACTGCTCGGATTCGGCACCCGATCCGCGGAGCCGGTGTCGCCCGGGTGGGACGGTGTCGTCGTCTCCGGCCCTTGGCTTGGTTCCAATCGGGATGGAAGTGAACCGACGTCGGAGACAGAACCTGGCTGGCGATCGTAATGTTCACCAGAGCGGCACCGCCATGCCATGCCATGCTCTGCAAAGCGTATCGTACAGCAGAGCGGCCGCAGTCCCGACGTCGTGTTGTCGGTTCGCGGGTCGGGTCCTACCTTCTTGTCGGCCGCCGTGCGGATGAGGGGGCCCGACCGACCGAGGGCGAAACGAGGCGGCCAAGAAGCAAGCAAGCAAGCAGGCAACGCAAGGAGGGGGGGAGCAGCGGCCGGGGACCCGCACTCTAGCTCGCCTTGCCCCAGCGCCAGCCAGCCAGCCCGCCCGCCATGCTGTTTTCAACAACTGGCCTCCCTCCGCCCCTCTGCCGCTTCTGCTGCTGCTGCTGCTTGCCTGCCGCCTGCCGGGCGACAATCAATCGGAAGCTGTCCATCTGTCGACCGCCTGCCCGCCTGCCCGCCTGGGCCTGCCTGCCTCGCCTTGCCCTCGGCAAACACCGACCGACCGACCGACCGACCGTACGGGCCAGGCAGGC